GCATGAAAAACTTATAATTTTTTAAAAAAATTGTTATTTAGATATTTTTTGTTATAATACTTATTAAATTATTAAAATTGATCATTCCGTTAAAAAGTTATACAATTTCTAATTTTGTCCAGATTTTTAGTTATCACATGTTATTAACCCGTTATTATAATACTTTATATTATAAACCACGAAATTTTAAATAATTCATGTCAAGCGCGCATGCGCGAAACATCTTTACTTTCTTTAGGTATTGTGAATATGTGTGGTGTACATATATAAACTGGAGACATGTAAATATTATTTGTTTTTCAAATATAATAATTAATTGTTGTTAAAAAAAAAAAAAAAAGTATCGTCAACAGGATAAGAATAATCAACAAGATTATATTGTGTCAAGCTTTTTATACATTAGCTTGACACAATATTCATAATATTTGAATACTGTGTAAAGCTTTACGCAATTCCATTCTAATATTGTCATGTATAACCTCAAAAGCAGTCTAAAAAGCGGGACTGTTTCGCCCAAGTGTGCGCAAAGGCCACCAACTAAGATTTAAAACATATATAGAAAAACATATATGGAACAAAACATATATGGAAAAACATATATGGAATAAAAACATATATGGAAAAACAAAAATGTTTAATTTTATTTAACATATTTAACAGATGAAAATAAATTGTTCATAAAATGTTTTTTCAAGAATATAATCAGAAAATGATATGAAGTAAATAAAACTTTAAAATAAAAAACTAAATGGGTTCTATGTCAATTTATAACAAAAAGCAATATAATAATAATGTTAAAGTATATAATAATAAAAATTAGCCAACATTCTTTTTCTTCCCGCTCTTTAAATACTTTTTAAAGTTAAATTTTTAACCACGTAAATAAAACGTTAAATAAAAATTATATAATATTTTTAGTTCATGTACTTTTTAATTTTCAGCTGTAGATATAATTTAAACTTTTTATAATAAATTACTAATCACCAACTGAGATTAAACTATAAGGTTTACAAATGAATCATTGGTTACAAGCATGAGTCGAAGGTGCTGGGATAGCTAATCCCATGCAAGCAGCATGTGCCAGCGCTTTAAATGTTTTTGACTCATCTTTATTAATTTGAAAACTTATACCTTGAAAGCAAAACGTCGCTTGTTCGAAAAAGTTTAAGGAATTACGGAGTAATTTTGTCTTTCTAATTTTTTTTAAATTTTCAGCGTTTTTAACTCCAGGTATAAAGTTTAATGGAACGGATTGTCTTTCGTTTGGTAACTTAGGGCTGTTTGTATAGCTTTTTCGTATAATTATACGTAATGATAAATCTGGTGATAGTGTAGACTTTATTTTAGGAGTTTCGCTATTATTTATTAAACATCTTTTATAAGCAAATTTTATTGGAACTTTTAAGTTTGCAGTATTCATATCACTGTTACTTTTTAGTTGCGGATATTGAAATAATTCAGTATCATTGTCTTTGTTAAATTCTAATCCAACATTCGTTAAGGGTGCAGAACTACTTTGGTCTGTTATTTGGTTGCTTAATAAACTATTTTTAACCTTTATTGAAGGGTCTTTATTCAATGTATTATACTCTTCCGATGCCTCAAGTTCTTTTATAAAAGTTTTGAAAAAGCGAGGCAAAAGAGGACTTGATATAGTTTTGCTGGAAGTTATTTTCTTTTCATTTACTTGCTCATCCAGGTTTTCAGAGTTTCTTTGCAGCAAGTTAGTCGATTCTGTTGCACTTAACTCTCTCGTTTGGAAATTGGATTCACCTTTTGATTCTATATAAAAAAAGAATATATATAAAAATAGCAATCTAGCTAAAAATTTAAAAAACTATAGAAATTTCAGACAATAACATTTTGGCGCAATTTTCATGGTGGATAATTGAACAAAAACAAATCCGACCGCAATTATGATACAAGCTTTTTTTATAGTGTTTTGGCCCTCTCAATTTAAAATAGGCATTTAAATTGAGAGGGCCATGACTTGGTATTAAGGTTTGAGGGCCAACTTAACACACTATTGCTAAGTAGGCTTATCTCTTATTGTGAATACAATAAGAGATTAGCCTTAAAAATTAAATGTAAGCTTGCTTAATAAATGCAATCTCGATAGCTCTTACAATTTTGATACTCAATAGCATTTATATATTGGCTAGCAAAATCAAACAAAGCATTGAGCTTTTTAATAAATGAACCACAAAAATGTTAATGATGGTTTATAGATAAGATAAAGGCTTGATAATTTTGCAAGAATGATGATACTTTTCATTATTATTATAAAAATACAAACTTGTTGGGGTTATTATAAAAATAACCCCAACAAGTTTGTCTTTTTGTTAATTTATCCTCTATGAAAATGCTATAAGGGATCGTTCATAAATTACGCAACGCAAAACTTATTTAAAAAATATAAGTTGGAGATCATTTTGCTCTTTTGCGCTGCGGTTTTCGCTGGACTTGAAACGTTGTTTAAATACTTGGTTTAATTAATGACTCTGCGAGGGTAAACTTTTAATGCTTTGTCTTTTGTCTATAAGTTTAATTTCGCGTTACGTAATATATGGACAATCCCTAAGCTGAAATCACATTCTATGAAAAATCAAAATTATAACAACTAGAAAAAGCTTCACAGTTCTATTTTTGTAATTAAATCTAATAAAAATAAAAACAACAAAAAAATTCTCCCAATATACATATGCACACACGCACACAAACACACACACCCACACCCACCCACCCACACACACACACACACACACACACACACGCACACACTGTATTACACACAATAGTATTTCGATATTGAAAGTTATATATATTTTGAAAGTACATATATTGTTATTCTTAAATTTTACTTAATTAAGTTTATGAAGTTGTGAACGTAAGTTCAGGAAAATATGGTGGATTGCAGTGTTTTTCAACAAAATCTACTTTATGTTTTATAAGCCAGTTTAAAATTGTCGTAGAGTAGTGACATAATGCTAAATTGGGTCAAAATAATAAAATACCTGTAAGAGATCTTAAAAAACAGTAAAAACTGCTTCTTGAGACATTCTTTGATGTATATTTCGGTGTTAATTGTTCACAAAACAAGAGCTTCTTTTAACATATTCACAAATTGCTTGCCAAACTAAAAATTGTTTAGCAAATTTTTGCAATCCAATGCATTTGTATTTGGAATTCAATTTCTTGCAATTAATTACTGTATATGTATTGGTGTCCTGGAAAAAATCGGAAATATGCAGCTTAATATCTTTCATCATTAAAAATAAAACAAGATTTTTTAGCACATAATTTATGCGCTAAAAAATCCACAATTTCTTTTCACTCTTTGTATAGTGGAAGCACTTGTTTTAAATTTATTTGCTAAAGTTCGAACATAAATCTCCGGATATCTGTCTAAGGCATCTTTCACTTTTTTAACAAGATCTCGTTAAACAAAAACTTTTTTAATTCCACTTCCTTATTTCTTTTTGATTGTATCAGTGTCTTAAAATAGTTTCACAACGCTCTTCACTGTTCTTAAAACAATTTGCAACTTTAAAAATTTTTTTTTTGATATTTTAAAATCGTTTTGTTTGATACAACAAGATTTTCAACGAGAAAATCCAAAATTGTTTCTTGCTTCTTATCTCGATTTGACGACATTTCAATTAAATCTAATTTTTTTGATAACAAAGTTGTTTGAACTTTGAATAACGCTAATACCCCGTTCATACTGACAATAAAACGTTTTATTTTAATGCGCATTCAATACAAGGGTATAGTCTCAGTTCTCTTTTGTAAATTATCACAAAATTGTTGAGTAAAATAAATATTTCGAACTTAAGTTAGTGACAAATTTGGCTTGGAGAGATATTTAGCGTTAAAAAAACTTTATATCAAAGATTTTATATCAAAGTAATATCAATATGTCATATTCTGCTTCTCAAATATTTTCTCAAATCTTAGAAATGTTTACTTTTTTAAACAAGTTGAGATTTTCTAAACAAATTTGCGGAACGGAACTGAGACTATAAATCCGTGTATTGTTATAATAAAAAGGTGTATAAAACAACAATAAAACAATACTACGAGGTTGTTATAACGTTAAAAACATAAAACGCGTTTAGAATAAAACATGTTTTACTATCAGTGTGAACGGGGTATAATACAAATACATTTTAAAATAATTAGCTAGTTAAAGTAATGCACGTTTCCCTAAACACTGCATCAGAATACGCGCAGATTTTTTGTACATGTATTATTTTTTTCAATAAATATTTAAATAATGTTAAATAACATTTTTATAAATGTGCAATTTTTATTTATGTGATAATTCTACATCTTCATCAATATGTCTTTGATCCTACATTCATCCGAAAAAATAATCGATTAAATAATACACTCAATTTTGTAACCACCAAACTTTTATCACCTATCATCTGACCGAACCAGAGAAATTGTGCACGAACCTCCTCTAAGCAAAAACAAGTGAACTTTTAGTCCTTTTTAAAAGCAAAAAGAACCTCTGGTTTATTAATCTCTATATAAAATGGAAGATAACTACGCTTATCAGGAAATATTCTATTTTTCTTAAACCGAGTGAAAAAAAATTAATTTTTCGAACATATTTTCTCCAATAAATAACCCCAAACATTTTTTCGCCTACATAAATAGAAATGCAAAATAACCAATCAAATTATATTGATTCGTTCACTTTCTAATCAAATCAATATTGGTAGAACCACCTTTGCAAAAATCCTTACCAAACAGTTCCAATCTGTCTACACGACTGAAAAAGCATACGATACCTTCCCAAATTTGAGATCAACGCTGAACCTTGAACTCTGTGAGAGGAGTAAAATTTGCCAAGATCAAAGCTCTTAACAAATGTAACACCTATTTTCAAGAGCGGCTCTAAAACAGACTATAGATCAATCTCAATCACATCTGTCCCTTGCGAGACAATATAGCAAATAGTTAATGACGAAAAAATTCCTCTCAGAATGTCAAAGTGGTTTTGTAAATAAAAAATCATGTGTCATAAAACTCTCAGTCTATACATTTTCTATCAAATTCACTGAAGCCTTCGATAAGGTCCCTCGTATAAGGCTAGTCCATAAACTAGTCATTTATGATGTTGAAGGTAATCTTTTAAATTTGATTAAAGTCTTTCTTAACAGAACCCAGTCGTCATATCTGGTGACACGTTGTTCAAATCGGAACAAGTCACTAATGAAATTTCACAAAACTCTTTGCTTGTTACCGTAACAAAAGCTTTTGGAATATGTAAACTGAAGATACCAAAATTTTTAGCACTAGTGTTACCCTCAAAGATAAAGCCCAAGTACAAGCGGACATCATTGCGAAGTGTACTCAAATTTGGCTAGTAGAATTAAATACCAAGTCATGCACTTTAAACAAAAACCCACCTTCAAGAACACTTTCTCTTTGACCCAGTACAATTGACAAGGCAATGTAAAAAGAATTACCTTGCTAATAAAAAAAGACCTTGTCATCCATATTTCTAATGATCTTGAACTCAAAACTTAATATCTCATTGTGGTCATCAAAGTTGAGATATATTAAAACATATCTTTTAAAGCAAACATGAAACACTCTGGAAAAAGTTTTACATCACTTTTTTACTCCCCTGTTTTCGCATAGAACTTCATCTCCAGAAAGATAACAATGCATTAGAACAAGTTCATCATTATGCACAAAAGTCTCAAACAGGCTTAAGTTTTACAGCTAAAAAAATGAGGTGTGCTGAACAGTAGTCTACCTAATAACACTCCTCTGTTATATGATCATTGCACGCATACACATCAAAAAAAGAAATTAAATATCAAATGTCAAATTAAATGTCAAATACAACATCTTCAATAAACACATGGTTACACAACGGATTGCTCTCCCTGACAATGTTGCACGCGCCAGATGTGCACATTGCAAGAAAACTTGATATAGTCACTATCTGATAGGCAAACTCGTATTGACCAGATAAAAAACTAAGAAAGATTAGTATGACCTGGACAGAAGACATAACTGTGTAGTTTGTCCGAAAGTAAAATAATCCCAAGGTACAACGTCTTTCCCGACTAATTTTATTTATTAAATTTGTCCAAACTGTCTAATAATAAATAACACCAGCACAACAAAAAACCTTTTCACAGAGTTTGTAGAAAGTATTTTATTTTTTATTTCTAATGGATACCACATCGCAACAACATCACAATAACGTTGCAACAGATTGCAACGCTTGAATTGTCAATAAATAAAAACTTAAAATTGATAAAAAATAAGAAAGTTTAGGGTGAATGTGTTTATATAACATGAAAGTTTAGGGTGAATAGAGATAAAATAAGAAGTTTAGGGTGAATAGAGAAACTATTTACTTAAAAATATTCCCCTTCAAAATAACACATTTAAATACTTATATTTAAACGTGTGATTTGAAGGGAGTTATAGACATTAGAAGTACAGTTCTATCAGCTCCAAAAAATATTATGCGCTAGTGTTTTTGTTTACAATGCAATCTTTTTTTATATGAATTATTACTTTATATAATTAGCATGCAATATTACAATAAGTCAAAAACTATGAATAAAAGAGAAATACAAACTTTTTAGAGATTTCTCGTTTAGAAATGGTTTAGTTTAATAGATGTAGATGTTCAATTTCTGGATGTAAATTTTTGTTCTTTCATTTATTTTCGCGCATATTAAAAACACAAATTTATCATTTTGTTCCTTATATCATTATCCATAAAGGCTGTAGCATTTTATTGTTTGAGATTCTACATTCACCGATAGATTTTAAAATCTATAATCATCAATAAATTTTAAAATTCATACAATTATCTTGACCATATAAAGTTTGAACCCCTTCAATTTGAGACACAAGTTGAGAAACAAGAGGGTTACAAATTTTATAAAACCATAATTGTTGAATGCTAAAAGATTATTTTAAAAAATTAAAAATTTACCAATAAATGTAAACATGGTTGAGAATAGTAAAAAAAGCGTTTTATCAACTTGTAGCTCTTACGTTTGGGTCAGGTGTAGCAAATAATTTTGGGTTTTTTTTGTTTCCAGACTCCAATCAAAGCAAATTTTTGCAAAGCATCCTTATTTAACATAAGTATAAACATACCATTTTTTGAAGCGTGGAAGTTAGCTTCATCAAACATCAAAAAACACTGCATCCGCCCCTGTAGTGTTATATATCGTTCCAACATTTTTTAAAATTTTCAATATTGTTTATGTACACTTTGACGTAAATGTTAAAATAAGAATACACCTAAATGGTTTACTGACATTTCTCTTTTAATATAAATGTTATTGGTTATTAGATCGGAAAATTTAATGAAAATATTTTCGAATTTATTTAGTATATGGAATAGGATAAGTTGGGTTTTATCTGCATTTAGAGAAAATTTCTTTATTTATAAAAACTCATTATCTTTATATAATTGGTTGTTAGTTAATTTAAAAAGGGTTTTAATATTTTTTTGGGAATAAAAAATCTGCAAAAAAAAAAAAGTTTATCAAGTTTATTGCTGAATTTAAATCATTAATGTACGCAAGAAACAACAATGATCATAAAATAGAGCCCAGAAGTTACGGCATACGGATACGTCATAATTTTATTGGTCAAATAACTTTTAAATTAAAAAAACCTTTTTTTTTTATTGCATATTGCTCAGATTTTTTTATTTTATTTTCAAAATTAAATCAAAAGTTTTGATCGATGACTTTTAATGTCTGTTACGACTTAATACAATGTAAAAAAATAGACTCTGTTTTGACTATGAGACTGCTCCTAATATTTATGATAATATATAACATAAATTGTTAACTTTTTCATTTTTCCTTTTTTGAAATTGAATACGTTTTATTAAAAGCACTCACATAAGCAGTAATCAGGCAAAACTGAAATTGGTACTCAGGAAACTAAAACAAACAAGTTTAATGATAACAACAAGATTACCAGGGGCGCAATTCTAAGTGTAATTGAGAACCAAATCTCAAAACACGAGTCATATTTTTCAATCATTTAAACTATCAAGTTAATTAAATAGATACCTTTGTTGCATCTTTTAAGCCAGCTGAGTCTCTTTAGTTTACATTGCTGCTCAGTGTCTATATTAAACAAAGGATGATCCTCTACAACACCTTGCTTACGTCTTCGATTATCTACAACCGATTGATCACTTATAAACACTCCCATGATTCTAATGGAAAAAAAAAAACAACGTCTTTAAATACTAATTTTTTTAAATGATTATTATGCTTAATTTATATATATATATATATATATATATATATATATATATATATATATATATATATATATATATATATATATATATATATATATATAGTTTATAAAGTTTTATAGAACTTTTTTTCCTGGGTACCCACAATTTTGATATTAAGGGGGTCTATGGTTCTTTTAAAGGAAGGAGGGGATGAAATATTTGTTAAAAATATTTTACATATATGTTTTTCTCTAATAATTATAACAAAAAAAATTTTTTTTGGGAGGGTGGCGGCCAAGGCCCCCCTAACCCGCCTGCCCTTGGTTATGGTTTTGTATATATATAAAGCGAAAGAATATATTACCACGTTCGACATCAAGTACCTTATATTTAAATTTTGTTTGTAATATTTTTTTCAGCCTGTTATAAGCAATTTACTATTTTGATAAAAAGATGTTAAGTTTGTAATGTAAAGTTTTACGTTTCTTTTGTGTTATATTTATTAATTATTTTTAAAAAACGTTAACTATAAAATGATGCGGTACCTGACCTACTTTACATTTTAGCATAAACACTGTTTATTAAACAGTATACTTTGGTATAAGTTAATTGGATTAATATTGAGTAGTCATCGCTTTGAACAGGAGTTCAGTATGCGTAAGTTTGTCTTAATGGATCGTCCATAAATTACGTAACGCAAAATTTCACAATAAACAAAACAAAAAAAGATCAAAAGTTTTCCCTCTCAAAGTCTTAATTTGAATAAATAATCAAAATAGGAAACTAAGTTAAATGAAAATCGCCGCGTAAAAGAGCTTAATATCTCCTACTTATGTTCTTAAAATATTTTTTGCGTTGCGTAGGTTATGGACATCCCTAATGTTAAATTAATCTCAAAGCGGGTTTTTGACGTCGATATGAAACTTTTAACTTTTTTTATATGAGTGCTTGCCCAAGCTGCAGTGTCGGATCCAGGAATTTTTGGTGGTATACCATACCCCCATTTCTTATTTTTTTTCTTTTTATTTATTTTTTCTTTTTTCAAAAATAACTTAGTGAACATGCTAAATTTCACCCCAATTGTCACGGGCGTGACAATTGGGGTGAAATTTAGCATGTTCACTAAGTTATTTTTGTTATTGTTTTTAATTTGATATCAAAGTTTTTCATAAATTTTTCATAGGGAGAAAAAAAAAGTAATTTTTAGATTTCAAATGCAATATTCGAGTGTAAAAATGAATCAAATAAATGTGAAATACTTGAAAGTATCTTTGGATTCTTATCGTACAAAACAATCAAACTCAAATCTATTATACTTCATTACAAAAGAAGTTTAAAAAATGTATATTAATGCAAAGATGTATAACTAATTTTTGTAACGTTTCATATGTTATAATGTACTTAAAAAAAGTCTAAAATGATAACTTTAAAAAAGAAAAGAAAATTATGATTTTATTTCATTACAAAATAATTTTTATTTATTTATTTTTTCATTTATAGCCTCTTTATAAATAAAAATAACATTATTTATCAAAAGGTAGAAAACTTTCTATAATATACAATACTATTGTTAGTTTAGACTATTGACAATTCACTAGTATAAACCTAGCAAGCACGTCATAACTAAAAGACGTCGTTTAGACAAACGTCGCTTTTTAAGTCGTCGTTTACAATGTTGAAAAAATTGTCTTGATAATTCCTATTGGTCTATACTCTACAAAAAGAAAAAAAGAATTTTATTTTTTGATATTTGTGTGACTGTTCTTTGAATTAATATAAACAAATTAAAGAAATTTACAATGAATATGTAAAATAGTAAATTTTTAATGAATGAAATAGTCATATGAGATTTACGTAGAAAGGATTACCTTGGCATCTTATGTTGGAGATATTATTTATGTAATATCAACGAACCAAAAAAAAAGGCTGACAAAAAATTAACAGACAAACCTAATTTTATATCTTTATTTAAAATTAGGTTTTTCTTTTAAATTTCTTTTACTAAATTTTTTGCAAAAAAATTTAGTAAAAGATTTATTTTTGAAATTTTTCAATTTTTTAATTTTATATAATAATAAATAAAACCTAATATAGATATAATAAACAAAAACCTATTTCATAAGTTTATAAGTTACAAGGCTGACGAAAAAGGACCTTTTTTTTTTTTTAGAAAATTTAAGATTTATATATTTATTTTATTATATCAATTGTATTATATGAGTTTCTGATATTCCAACGTTGAGATATTTAGTTAGTTAGAACAATAGTTGATTTCTAAAAAAAGTCATCTATAGAGGACTTTTTTTAGAAATTGACTATTGTGAAACCCGCGTCGTCGGCCATGAATTAGGCTTGCAACATTAGATTTGAAACACCATTAATAATTTAAAACAGAATCGTTGATTTGTACTTTTTTGATGATAAATAAAATTCTTAAATTAACTAACTAAATAAATGTTCTAACTAACTAAATGTCCTAACGGTAAAATATAAGTAAGACAGAAACGCTATAAGAAAAAGTTATTTTTAAAAATAATTGAAACAACGTAAAAATTGTTTATTATGGAAATATTTCACTAAAAATAAAACAAATCACTTGAACTGTTTAAAATAAAATTAATTTATTTAGAATAGCTTTACCAGCATATTCCCGCTGGAAAATCGGCTAGCTATTAGCTAGCTATAATCGTTACGATAAAGACAGCAATTTAGCCACGAAGATCGCTAGCTTTTTTAAGTTAGCGAAAAGCTATCGATTTTTGTAAAGATAAAGACAGCGATTTGGCTACGAGGACAGCTAGCTTAACAAGCTGAAGATCCACTGGCTATTGTACCTAGCGTCATATCGTAATAAAACCATTGTCTAAAAATTTTTGATATGTAGCTATCAACCAGCTATAGATTTGTAGATATTTTGTAGCTAGCTACAAAGCTACGATATGTAGCTAGCGACACATTGCTACAAAATCGCAATGTTTAAAGTTCAATTATTTTCATAGTTATAATAGACTCAGCACTAAAAATCGAATATTTAAAGATGTTAAAGACATTTGCAAAAAATAAAATAAGAAAAAAAAATCGCTAGAAAATTGCTATAGAGCTATCTAGTCGCTAGCTCATTTCCCACCGGGTTAGTTTAAATAAACTTTTTTTTGTCCGTTTTTACCGACACGCAGATTTAAATACGGACGTATTTATAATGAGAAAAAAACCTATTTTTTCCTTTTATTTTCTTTCCTCTTTCTTCTATTTGAATAGATACAGCATTAGTTTTTCTTCAAGCTACAATATCAATATTATTTTATGCTAAAAATAAATAAACCATTCATTACTCGAATTACTCGCTTTCAGTACACGCAAAAAACGAGATTATCTGTTTCCGGAATTTTTATTTTTCGGTCCTTTTTGGTTTAATTCATATTGTTTCAAGTAAATAACTCAATTTTTTTTTTGTATTATATTATTTAAAAATATGTTTTGCTCTAAATAGATTTTTAATTTGAATCTTGAAAACCTATTATTTTAGTTTATTTTTCGTTAATTTTGAAATTATAGAAATTTAACTCGATTGCTATAATATACTATAATTTTTTATATTGTTTTATTTGGTTTGTTTTCATTTTTATTTATCCAAAAAGAATTAAAAATAAATAAATAATAACTACTATGTTTTATTAAAATTTCCGTAATTCATCAGTCGTTAACTAGGGTATGCCTAATAATCTAAATGTCTAATAATGATTAATTATTTTAATAAGCACAAAAAATACATTAATAACTTTTTATGTTATTTTAAACAAAGTTCCACAGTTGCATTATACGTCGCACTTCTACTCAAAAAAGAAATAGATTAATAATCTAAGAACGATTATATATTTTGAAACACTTTTTTACACAGAACATCATATATTTATTTTTGTGCATACTTAAAAAAGAATCTATTATTTAGAAAACCATAGTTTACTTTTTTTTTTCCAAATTAATTTAGTTTACCGGTGATAAAGAGTTGTAAATCGATGTTTTTCGAATATTAAGTTTATTTATTATATCTTTTTTCATAACTACAAATAACAACGGTTTTTGGAAAATAATCTGAGTCTAAAGTATACACCGTAAAAATGAACTTAAGTATCTTACTACAGAGGTAGCCAGAATAAAAAGTCTATTTGTTGCATAAAATTTGTATCAAATAAAAAACGTACTTCCTCTGTAGTAACATGATTCAATTCATTAATCTTCACGGACTGAATTAAACAAGAAAAACCTATAATTAAAAAAACTTTTTTTTTTACTTTATTTGATTTTTAATTAATTTAATAAATCATTAAATTGAAAACAAGTATAATGCAAAAGTTTGATTTTTATCATATGCAATTGAAAAATTTATCAAAACCATGTGTTTTTATAACCTTTTTTAAAAAGTAAAATCCTATTTCCGCTTAGTTACGCATCGTCTGACTTTTTTTTCCCGTAAACCTTGCGAAGTCAGACGAGAAAACTTTGGTTAAAAAATCATGCAGAAAAATATTCAATAAACTTATTAAATGAGTAATGCTTTTGTAAAAAAAAAAAACGAAACAAAAAAAAAATTAATTTATTTCCTACTCTAAAACATCTTCTTTTATCATAACGCAACTGTAAAAAATTAATTTAAAACAAATTTAAAATCTTTTTAAAAGGCTAGAAAATAGACAATAAAATCCCCCTAACACTACGCAATATTTTATTGTTTTTTTTTATAACAACTAAGTACAACCGCAGGAACATATTTGTTCCGGTAGATAATAAAATTAGCGCAAAAATTAAAGTTTTCTCGTCTGACTTCCCAAAGTTCACGGGAAAAAAAAGTCAGACGAAATTTCGTCTAAGTTACGCATAGTGTGTATCACGACACACCATACTTTTTATGTCTATTTTATGCACGCTTTTCAAAATCACGATTACATTATTTTTATTAACGATTGTTATAGCTATTTACTAACAATTAGTATCGCAATTTTATTAGCGATTATCATTATAACCTTACTTACGCTTGCTATCACAATTTGGTTCTTTGACTTTATGTAAACATTTTATTACTTGTAGCTTCATTATTTTTAGTTTGGTGGTATTAAAGTTTTTGCTAATTTTTTATTAAACTAATAAATAAAAACGGAATAAATAAATAAATAAAATATATGGCATAAATTTTTATAATTATAATTTAATTTTAAGCTACCAATTGATCCACCAATCTTACACTTCCATTTTTACTCTTCCAATTACATAATTTAATTTTTCACCACCAAATGATAGTGTTTTTTATTAGTTGCTAAGAAACTAAACGTAGCATGCCATATTTAAGTTTACATTTTTGTACAAAACAAAGTAAAAAACATAACACAAAATATAATTAAAGCTATATAGAACAAACAATTAAAGGTATATAGTACAAAATAATTAATATAAATAAAAATATAGAATAAAAATTCATAATAAAAAGAAACAAAACATGAAAAATGCAAACAAATCTTAAAAAAAAAAATTTTTAGTAATAAAAACTCTCTAAAAAAATAACTAGAAAATAAAATTGTCTAAAAGAATTATACTTGCAAGTTTCGATTGCTTTTTTTGCGTGATCAATTACTCCAAGTTTGGATTCTGTCCTTCCATTTTTTCTCATTCGTGTGATCATGTTAAAAAAGCAGTAATACTTTAACTTAGTAATAAATAAACTAAAAAAATAGTTACGAGGTTGTAATTACACAAGTATATGCCTCGTATTGAAATAATCTTTAATTGGTGTATTTGCTGATAATAACCCACATAATTCTGTTCGTGCCAATGAGCTAGCATAGTATATCAACGATAGGATAATTTGAATGAAAATTTAAATTTAAGAAAAAAAAGCAACAAACACATCAACCAAAAGATTAAGGCGTTATTTATATGGATCGGGCTGCTCGATTATCCGGGTTTACTCACCTCGTTGAGATGAATATTGTTACTATTATTGTTATTAGATTATGCGGACTTTTAGCCCGCTAAACGTAAATAAAAAAAAAATTTTGTTTACATCACGTGACCAGAAGTATAATAAAAGCTATAAAATGGTATCTTTCTATATAAATTATAGAAATGGTATCTTTCTATATAAATTATAGAAATGGTATCTTTCTATATAAATTATAGAAATGGTATCTTTCTATATAAATTATAGAAATGGTATCTTTCTATATAAATTATAGAAATGGTATCTTTCTATATAAATTATAGAAATGGTATCTTTCTATATAAATTATAGAAATGGTATCTTTCTATATAAATTATAGAAATGGTATCTTTCTATATAAATTATAGAAATGGTATCTTTCTATATAAATTATAGAAATGGTATCTTTCTATATAAATTATAGAAATGGTATCTTTCTATATAAATTATAGAAATGGTATCTTTCTATATAAATTATAGAAATGGTATCTTTCTATATAAATTATAGAAATGGTATCTTTCTATATAAATTATAGAAATGGTATCTTTCTATATAAATTATAGAAATGGTATCTTTCTATATAAATTATAGAAATGGTATCTTTCTATATAAATTATAGAAATGGTATCTTTCTATATAAATTATAGAAATGGTATCTTTCTATATAAATTATAGAAATGGTATCTTTCTATATAAATTATAGAAATGGTATCTTTCTATATAAATTATAGAAATGGTATCTTTCTATATAAATTATAGAAATGGTATCTTTCTATATAAATTATAGAAATGGTATCTTTCTATATAAATTATAGAAATGGTATCTTTCTATATAAATTATAGAAATGGTATCTTTCTATATAAATTATAGAAATGGTATCTTTCTCATTACATAAACAAACACTTATTTTAAAACAATATGCAAAGTAATAATATTCAAACTTATGTTTTACAATTTGTATTGGGTATCGAGGAAAACGTGGCAAGACGGCAAATGGGGCAAGATAGTTTCTTATTGACAAATTAACAAAAAATTTTAAAAAAATGGGTGGAAACAAAATTGTAAATATAGCTCGTATTTTAAATACAATACCTATTTTTTTTTTTTTTAAACATTATTAACGTGATTTTATTTGCAGTTTTTTTATTAAATTAAAAAAGTAGTATAACGGTTAGGGTTACAGTATAACGGTTGACAGCTTTTCAAAAACTTAGGATTTTTAAAACGTTCACCAACTTGCCCCATCTTTCTCTCTACAGTTTTTATTCCTTCTGACGTAAGAATACAAGGTTTTTTTTGTCATCGTTTAAATTCAAATTTTTGAACCTCGTAGCGAATGTTATGACTGTATTGACCATCACTTAATTTAAAACTTTTGCTTCCAGAAGCAAAGTTATTGCAAAAGCAGTGCTAAAAATTGTTCCAAAAGTTATTCCAAAAACAGTTATTTTTATTTTCTTGAGAATCAAACTATCGTATTTATTACCCGTATCTTTTAAACAATTTTAATAAGTAAATCCTAAACTTGGCAAACTCTCGTTTAAATAAGCCAGATTTTAAATAGTCTAATAAGTCAGATTCACCGGGCCAATCCGACTAACCAAACTTACACAATTTATATAAACAGCTTCTCAGATTTAAACTTATTTCACGTAAACAGTTTTTAATTAGGAATCCTTTTTTTTGTTAAGTACAATGTATTTTTTTTTTTTAATTCAATTTTATAAAAGAAATTTTAATTGATGATAAAGATATTGAAAGATAGCAACGCACAGCGATGAAAAGATTACGCCGTTACTAAATATGAAGTGTTTATTTTTAAAACGCGGTATGTGATTTTGCACTATATTAATTTTTTAGGTTTATATATAAAAAAACTATTTTTTAAAGTTGTTATTATACGAATATTTGTTATTATTAGTTATTATCTAAGTTAGAAAAAGTTTTTTGTTTAAGTTGGCACATAAAAACAAAAATTACACATACCGCGTTTTGAGATTAAACTCCTCGTATAACTTATTTTTTTATTTACAAAACGCGGTATGTGCAATTTAGCTTTTGCGAAATAAACAAGATATTAGATACACAACTATCTATTCTAAAAACTTATATTAAAAGTCTTTAGAATTGATAACTGTGTATACGATATCTTTTGTTCATTTTGCAATATTTTGTAAAAAAAAATTATTATTATTTTTTTTGATTTCCCCCTTCCGCCTCAACTATCAAACAACTACCAAAAAATTTCAGCCCCCTTCTCCCTCCCCTTATTTTATTGACATAGTTAATAAACAGCCCCAAATCTTCAAAATTCTATTATAACAATCGCTTTTCAACAGAGTCAGACTGGCACTGAGGGGTCCGGGGAGACATAGATGAGGCCCTTATAGTAGTAAAGTATTAAGCAAAAAAAAGATAAACCCTAAATCTTATAGTTTTTTTTGTTATAAGGGTATAGAAAATTAAGGTGGGGGCCTCTTTATAACGTGCAAAACAATTTTGCATCAGCACATTTATCTCCTTCTCAGAACCCTGGGCCTAATAAAATTTATACGCATGACTCGATAAAAATACGAAATTTAACTTTTTTGGTAATAAATTAATTTTTCAGTCTCTTACTCAAGATAGTTTACTCTACCACTAATGGCTTCTTTACCTTTGTATATTATATAAAGCATTTTTATATCTTATTCAATAACAATTCATATTTTAATTGTAGAAATAAATTATATTTATTTTATTGTCTTTAAAAAATTGATGTATATAAACAGTAAATAGTTATTATTGATTTGTATTTTTGTGTGTTTTATTTATCTTAATTTATAGTGAGGCCCAGGACCTTAAGACATGACAGGGGCCCGGGGAAATCCCAAAACCCCCCTGGCCTATCCGACGCTGCTTTTCAAAAAGCATTTTAAAGTAAAGAAATTAGGCATATTGAAATAACAATAATTTTTTTGTCAAATAATATCAAAGTTATTTATAATAACAGTAGTGGAGTAAATAGAGAGGTACTTTTGTTTATTTCTTTAAAGCTTATATTAAAACTTTTTTTTTTTACTTTTATAAGATCACTTATTATCTAAACCAGTAGATAAAATAGCTAAATTTCTTTGTTTGACATTTTGATAAAAACGTCAAACAAAAACCATTAAACTCATCAAAGCATGTGCTTTGATGAGTTTAATGGTGTGTGATATCTTTAATGAGTTTAATGGTGTGAATGATTTTGATAAAAACGTCACCATTAAGTTCATCAAAGCATGTGCTTTGATGATTTTTGGATGATGTTTTTATCAAAATCATTCATTGGAATCATCGCGATTGATTACAATGATTTTCTTGCATTTAGTGATTTTTTCTTATTTTATTTGAATTATTTTATTTAATTTATTTATTTAATCAAAAAGTTGTTCTAAAAGCTAAATAAAAAGTTGTACGCAGTTAGAAGTTATTAGTTGTGGTGTGGCTCAATACTTGGTCCTCTGCTGTTTCTCTTATATATCAATGACATCCACTTTTCCTATAATATAATTTTATATAATATTTATATATAATATTTGACGATCATTTAAACTGGAAAAATCATATCCAATTAGTGAAAAACAGCATTTCAAAAGCTCTTGGGATCCTTTTCAAAACGAAGCACCTTTTGAATATAATGTGCTTAAAAAGCTTGTATTTTTCATTTATTCATAGTCACATTAGTTATTGCAATATATAGCGTGGGCAAGTAATTATTCATCTTCTTTAAAAAATTAATACCAAACAAAAGCAAGTGAGCCGGTTAATTTTGAATGCAGGTAGATATGCATGCGTCGAGCCTTTACTTAAAAAAATTAATTTTTTTAATATTTATAAGCTAAACATCTATCAAAATCTGTTATTTATGTTTAAAATTCATAACAACATGCTTTCAACATATTTTCAACCTCATTTCACCTTAATTAATCACAAATACTCTACAAGACATTCCATTGGCAACTTTCTCATCCCTACAACATCCCTTAGAAAAAACTTCTCAATTACATGTCGAGGACATGTTTGTGGAACTATTTCCTTAATAGAGACATGAAAAATATGACTTCAATAGAACTATTTAAAAGAGCAGTTAAACGATACTTATTAGATTTAAATAATAAAAACATTCTTTGTATTTTTAAAAACATTTATATATCGATTTGTTAACACGTATATATGCATCTTATAACTTATATACTTTATGAACTGTAATATGTTATAGTATGTACAAAACTTGTAATATGTATAAAACTTATATAACGTATATTTTAGGAACTTAATACGTAAAACTTTATTTATATTTTCACGAGCTTAAGAACAGGGTGATAAAACGCATTGTCTTCTACTTGCTCCTGTCAGAATTTAAAGATTTAATTTTTAATTTTTTACATTGTAAAATGATTGTTTATTGACGAAATATATATAAATAAATTTTAAAAAATTTAAAATTGGTTTTTTCACTATAAAAAAACTTTATAGTTGCTTCTAACAACCAAAGTTTTAAAAAGCTTTACGGCTAAGACACAAAGAAACAAAATTTACAGTGAAATTTGTTGAACAAGTATTTTTTACAACCAATGTAGTAGTTTTTATTAGTTGGTTTTTGTTGCTTATTTTTATTAGGATTAGTATTTTGACTAAATCAGTAATTTTTTAGAATTAATATATTAATTAGCTGGGTTTTGTTGCTTCAAAGTACATTTAAAGTTGTTTACAGCTTTTCACTTAATATTAATAGGGTAGGACGGGACTAGTTAAGCAATTTTTAAAAGTCTAAAAAACGGTGCTTTTCATTTTAAATAGTTCGTCAGTTTTCCTTTAAGAATTCAACCTGCTAAAAATTATTAAAGAAAAAATCTCTTTTGGATTCATTCAAAATATAATCTAAAGTTTGCCAAGCTAATCAGTCAACTATGTGGGGTAAATTAAACAGCTGTGTCGGACAAATTTAGTGATAAATAAACTAATGCATACGTAAGATATTGAATTTGGATAAAATTTTAAATACTTTAGAGTACGGATGCAAAATCACGTGCG